CGGCGAAACCCATAGCTGTTCTGACGACTTTAGCGCCTATTATTTGGGCCCAATTTCGAAGTACACTAGAATAGTAGGATCAGCTGACCTCACCAATCTACCTTACTTCAGATTTGGGCCCCAATGATAGGCGCCGAAGTCGTTCAAATTCGCCACGATCATCGCCGCGCAATTTGCCGCGCGCACCCTCGGACGCACCACTTGACACACACCCAATGAGGGGTGCTGTAGGGGTTGTCGGCTGATCTTCGCACTTACACAGCCCATGGCAGCTTTTGATTTTCAACGTTTTTTTATAAACCACCACCAACTTCCTCCTTGTTTTTCATAAATATTGTATGAATTTCCAAAAGTGTTGCACCGAATAAAATGAAGTCGCCCCACTTGAAGTTGGACTAGTTCCCGAGCCCATAACTACTCTCACGATTTCGACTATTTTTTTCTTGGAATTTTCTTAGTTATGGCATCACAGTGCGAAGGATTACTCATTATCAGTATAGTGCTAAAAAATAAGAACGTCACCAGCAAAAACCTACCAAGATTGATCGACAACACAGAACAGGAGGATGTCAAAATGGTGACTGGAGAGGGTGTGAAGAGCGTAAGAACTATCAGCATACACACCAAGGCGAAAAACACCGTCTGTTCTGTCACAGGGACGATTGATAGCAGCTTAAAAAACAACTATCTCAATCATTCAAAATAAATAAAAAGTCTTTAGTATGGGTCAGGAGGTGCCAGTGTGTTATAAATTGGTCACATAGAAGAAATGCGAACTATTATTGGCACTGGGGCTCCTATCGCAGTACCAGCCCTGACGTTTTGCCAGCAGTTGGTGAAGGGCTGCTTCAATCAGGAAATGGCCTCTGTTCAATTTGCACCGAATATTTATTTTTTAACCTCTTGGTTGCAAGGAGAGAAAGGCAAACATAAAAACGAACATAATGCTGAAATTGAGTAGAGAGCCTCACAAGAATGGCGATTTGTGGGCAAAACTCCAAGTACGGGGTTCGAGTCCCGTCCGAGACTGGAGTTTTGCCCACAAATCGCCATACTTGTGAGACTTTCGCTTCGCGTACTGCGGCGGTAAAACAGCAGTTAACAAAACATTAAGTCAAAATGAGTAGAGAGCGTTTCTCGAAGGAAAAAGATCAATCCCCTGATTGGTGGCAGATGGTTAGAGGCAGCTCTATGGTCAAGGCAATTAGGTAGAACCACATGAGGTGGTTTCGCGCTGTGACCTAGTTCTGGTGACCGCATTGGCGCCTCCATGCCCATGTTTTGAATTTTTCAGAATCTTTCGTAAAATTACCTGATCTGAATACATTGAGAAATCTTCGTAGACGGTCAGATTAAGATGTCGATATTCACTTGCAATGTCTCGCCATTGTTCCAGCAAATTCAGGCGTTCTGTCCATGTGACAGCATTATGGAATCCAGTGGAAAAGACAAATTTCTGTAGACACGAAGGTCTCTCAGCGAGACAATCCCTGAAGATGAAAAACGTAAAACTGTGGAATTGAGGGAACGCTTTTGTGATACATACGCATGGTCGCCAAGATTCACAAAATGACTCCATCTCCTGTACTCCGTCAACTTGAAGAATTCCGGTAAGTAGCGGTACTTGAATTCAATTGAACCATGTTCCTCAAATATTTACTATAAAATTACGTACCATTCGACAGTTGATACTTTTTTCAAGGTACCTTTTCGCCAACATAGGGAAGGTATGGTAGCAGCCACATATGTGTACTTGCAGCTCCAACGCTGTTGTTAGCGGTTTCAAACCTTCGCAGGATCCTCATTATTTCTGGTACCGACTCTCGGAGATGCATATTACCCGGATTATTTACGAAGATGGCCACCTAAAAAACAACTAGTATTGGTTGAGGCCCCTCTTCAAATAATCTCCATCATGCTTTTTGCGCCACAAAATTGAAAATATGTTCGCCTCTGGATTTAGCTGGTATCGAAAAGTTTAACGAGGATCACTAACAGTTCATGAGTCAATGCTAGTGTTGAGAGGGGGGGGAGAGAAAGGAGTGGGAAAGGACCCATTGTGCTAGGGCGCGGAGATGGAGGAGTAGCTGGCTTTGCCAAAGTGGGTGAGGTGGTTAGCTCTTATAGAAGTTGGGATGAAAGAGGAATTAACTCTCAGCTGGTCATTGATTCATTGTAGAAAAAAAACTGTTTTCCTCGCTAGGAAACCTTTCCCAGGGACTTTGCTTTTTGATGTCCCCCCCC